CACGCGTGCCCACCTCCGGCGGGCGGGCCGAGGCCACTGGCGATTAGTTCTTTCTCGTTTAGGATGGGTTTTCCAAAGTGAGAGTTTTCCGTGCCTGCTTTTCTCCTGAAAAGTTTTCGTCTAACGAAGGAGGTAACTTGTGTGTTTTAAGGAACAGGAGTGGTTTTGCTTTGCTTGCTTTCTTTGAAATCCTGAAACCTTACCACGATTATTTGAAAATACTGGGAGTTGGGAAGTGTTAGATCAGCCCAGGGTTCATTTCATTTTAATGCCTTTTAGTCCTTGTACTAATAGAATATATAAATGTTGTGAATCATCTTTACAAGGTGTCCGAGTTTGCTGTGTGGGAGGTCGGGGTGTGTCTTTTACACACCGCTAGGCGTTTCGCGCAGGGTAACAGTAAATGTCTTTAATAGACCTGTTAGAAATCCCAAATGCTTTGGCTGGATTATTTGGGCTTTGTGACTTGCAGGTTCATGCAGTACACCCAGAAGAAAATACAGTTTCTAGGTACTTCTTTACTCAACAAGTAATTATTTGCTTGTTTAGCATGTGCCCAGGAGTTGGGGAAACAAAGATTAATGCAAAATACAGCAAAGAACTCTGAAGAGTTTAAATATTTGTTTTCTGCTCTGTAATTAAATGAACACTATCCAAAAATCTCATAGGAAGATTAAAAATACCTAATTTTCATTATTAATCAAGTTAGCAAAATTTGCATTACCGAATAATCAAAACTCAAGAGTACAGATCAAATTCTGAAAGTGCCCTAAAAATAGAATCTTACTAGTACAGTGGAGGGAATATAGTCGATAATATTGTAATAACTATGTATGTTTTTAAGGCAGATGGGTACTAGACTTATCATAAGTTATATAAATGTCTAATCACTATTCTATACACCTGAAACTAATATAAAATTGAATGTTAACTGTAATTGAAAACTAAAAAGAATACACATATATATTCTTACTGAATTACTGTATTAAGCAAATCACACACAGGCAATGTCAAGATCAGGTATGTCTCCACCTGTCAAAATAGTAGGTAAGGAGCCCTAATTGGTTTGGCTCAGTGGATAGAGCATCGGCCTGTGGACTGAAGGGTCCCAGGTTCGATTCCAGTCAAGGGCATGTACCTTGGTTGCAGGCACATCCCCAGTAGGGGGTGTGCAGGAGGCAGCTGATCAATGTTTCTCTCTCATCGATGTTGCTAACTCTCTGTCCCTCTCCCTTCCTCTCTGTAAAAAAATCAATAAAATATATATTTTAAAAAATTTTAGGGAATATTAAATAATAGTAAATACATGAATAAATATAATGTTAAAAAAAATAGTAGGTAAGGAGAAAGTAGGTATTTGTACTCAAGCCAAATATTCCAATTTAGAGACAACTAAGGAGATCACCTGAAGGGAAGTAACTTGAATCTTTTCTGTCTTCAAGAGAGGATTCTTTTGCTCTTACAACAGCTTTGGACATGCCCCACCAAAGTAATAGGCTTTCCCAAAAGGTTCATTTTAATTTACATGTCGGCCAATTGTTTCTGGACTTTTTGGAATTGATGTAAAAAAAAAGGAATAATTTTAAAGCTAACACCTTTACTGTATACTACATATGTATGATGCCATATCACTCATGTCTCTATAGATTATGGTCCAAATCTCTGCACCCTATGCTCCTACATCCAACCAACATTCCTCTTAGGACTCACACTTTCAATCCTAGTTCTTTTCACATTCCTCATCTGCCCAGTAAACTCCTATTCATCCATCAAAACCCCAATCCAATGTTACTTTTGTGAAACTTTCCCAGACTCCCTGAGGCAGAATTAATCATCCATTAACACAACCCTTTATCCTTACTTCTGTTATTATAAGTATGTAGTTGTACTAGATCATGAGTTCCTGGAGAGCAAAGATAATGTATTCTGTGTATCTTAGGGATATACATAAATGTATACGGAGTAGACTAATTGTCATATAATTGTCAGTTGAATTATAGAATGACAAAGTACTAGATATTTCCAATCTGTTATGTCTTTGAGTCAAACGAAGTATGCTTCCAAGGAATTAAAAGGCTTTGCTTCCCACCATCCCATTTCATCTCTGGCATAAAAACACTTTCTCAGACTTCTTGTGGATATGTGAAGTTCCTTAAGAAGGAGAAAACCAAACTTTTATTCCATAATCACAGGTAAGAATTTAATGTTTAAGTGACTGAAGATTATATATTGGTACTGTCTTAGAGCAACCCAAACCACTGCCAGGAAGCAATATCCCCTCTCAGAGTCCATGACGTCAAAAATTCCATTGCTTCAGGAGGTTCAGATGTGTTTCAGATAACACACTGAAATACTGGATCCTCATTGAATTCAGCTTTTGTGAAGCAATAACTGCAGAAAAAAACTAGAGTACTTATAAGGGGCAAAAAGAAGAAATTCATTTAAGAGTGAAACGAATCACTTTTACCCAGGACAAGATGTATACATCTAAGTCAAGGAGTCACATTTTTAATCTGTTAAATACACTGTACAAACAGCAAGCGTATCCGAAGCTCGAATTTTTAAAAGTGGCAACCTAGAATAAACAGTGTTCCGAAGAAACAGCTGGAAGAACGCATTTCCTATACAAGGTGCACATATTTGAGCCTCTTCTACAACTATGCTAAATAGTCATTTGCTCACCTGCAGAACACTCTCAGTAGGATTTAAGCATTTTATTGAAGAATTAGCTTGCGGCCCTAACCGGTTTGGCTCAGTGGATAGAGCATCGGCCTGCGGACTGAAGGGTCCCTGGTTCGATTCCGGTCAAGGGCATGTACCTTGGTTGTGGGCACATCCCCAGTTGGGGGTGTGCAGGAAGCAGCTGATCGATGTTTCTCTCTCATCGATGTTCCTAACTCTCTATCCTTCTCCCTTCCTCTCTGTAAAAAAATCAATAAAATATATTAAAAAAAAAAAAAAGAATTAGCTTGCGGTTTTAGGTGAAGTGACCAATTGCCCAAACATCATGACTGGTTGTCAGGAAGCACTCACTTCACTAGACAAAATAGAGGCCCCATCATTGCGAATTGCCAGATTTTACTTGAGCAAGTCTGTCCTAGAGTCTGAGTTCTGCTTAACCAGAGATGTCAATACAGTCCTTTCAATTCAATTAGAAGAAACCTAGCTCCAACGAACAGCCCTAGCCGGTTTGGCTCAGTGGATAGAGTGTCAGCCTGCAAGACCAAAGAGTCCCGGTTTCGGTTCTGGTCCAGGGCACATACCTCAGTTGCAGGCTCCTCCCTGACCTGGGCCCTGGTCAGGATGCATGCAGGAGGCATCCAGTTGATGTGTTTCACATCTGATGTTTCTGTCTTTCCCTCTCTCTCGCACTCTCTAAAATCAATGGGAAAATATCCTTGGGTAAGGATTAAAAAACTACAACAAAATAATTCAGACAATAAGGAAATGTAATTATCTTACTCTAAACCAGCGGTTCTCAACATGTGGGTCGCGACCCCTTTGGGGGTCAAACGACCCTTTCACAGGGGTTGCCTAAGACCGTAGGAAAACACATATAATTACATACTGTTTTTGTGATTAATCACTATGCTTTAATTATGTTCAATTTGTAACAATGAAATTGGGGGTCACCACAATATGAGGAACTGATTAAAGGGTCTCGGCATTAGGAAGGTTGAGAACCACTGCTCTAAACCTACATATCCCACGCATACTTAACACCTCCACTTGATGTCCCACAGGCATCTCAAGCTTTAGATGTCCAAAACAGAACACCTTCCCAACAAATCAGCATCTTGTCTTCCTCTGCACGATGAAACCTCCATCCACCCATGTGTTCCTGGCAAAAATCATGGAGTCCTTGATACCACTCCATACATCCAATCAATCAGTTCCCACCTCCAAAAGGTATCATCTTTATTCTAAGTGTATCTTAGAACATAAATAGTGGGGTTATTTCTAATTAGATTTGTTCACATTCAACCATGGAACACAGCACATGTACATTTCTGATGCTTGGAATATATGTCCAAAACAGAAAAGTCTTGATCTCAGCTTTGATTCAGTGGGAGAGGCAAACAACAGACAAAATTAAGTAGATGTCTTATATAATTTTAGGTAGTAATAGGAAGGACAATAGTAAGGTGCTAGAGACAGATTATGTACTATTTTAGATAGGGTGGTCAGAGAAGACTATAAGGAGGTAACTTTTTCAGTAGAGCCCTGAAGAAAGTGATAGAGAAAGCCATACACATAGTTTAGGGAAGACTACAATGTAAAGGCTGGAGGGTACATGGCACTTTGAATGAATGCAGTGAAGAGAAGAAAGCATACAGATCATACCTGAGAGGTATCCAAGAATGAGGTCAGCCAGGGCCTTGTAAGCTGCAGGTAGCACTTTGCTTTTATTATAAATGCGATGAGAAACTATGTGAGGGTTTTGAGAAGAGGAAAGGCATGACTTGACAAACTTTAAGTGTCCAGAAGAATCCAGATCATTATGGATGATGGACTGAGTGGGGGGTATCAGGGAGATGAGTTAAAGGCCACTGTCATGAAGCTTCTCATGGTTGATTGCTTCTGACAAGAAGCAAATCTACAAATAGGGTATTATTTAAACGTAGTCATGTGACTGTTTTGAGTTAATATTATTGCCAATATTTCCAATAAAGAATAAAATACTGTCGGGTCTGGAGGGGAGGGGACCCGCCGCCATCTCAGGTCTCCGCCTGGCTGGGGCCCACCGGAGAGAGCTGACGCCCAGGTCCTAGAATCCTTATGGGGGACCAACCTTGTCCCTCCGGGAGAGCCACGCTCCCATCTGCAAACACGCGGGAAAACAAACCTCCGAGAAAGCGCTGGCTCTTAGCTCCATGGTGGAATTATCCAGAAGGGACCCCAAACAGAGGTACCCCTCTCCCCTCCACACCTCCTCCGGCATCTCCCGGCCTGAAGTCGCATCCTCTTCCTCCAGAGAAGTCGTAGAATAGACTTCTCCCACCCTAAGCCAGTTTTGGAGGGATTGCAGTAGGACTCCATTTCCATGCTGCGTTCATAAAATAGTTTATCCAATGACGACAATGAGGGTTGTTGACAATGCTACCCTGATTTTTCTGTTCTTCTGCACTGGAATGGAAAGTTGTGATTTTTTTTAAGGGATGCCTTTTAGTAAATACCAGATGGCTTGTACATTATTAGGCCTATCTTTGGGAACCACCTGCATCATCGCCTCCTGAAATGAGACAACTGTTTAACTGAACTGTTTTCAAGACTGAGACTAGTTTTAAAACTTATATCTATATATATAAAAGCCTAATATGCAAAGTGTCCCTTCAGGAGTTCAACTGACTGGGAGTTTGATTGCTTGCTATAATGTGTGCTGACCACCAAGGGGGGGCGCAGAATGAAGGAAGGCCCCAACTGGCAGCTGGGGAAGGGAGGCCCTAGCTGATAGCCTGCAGCTGCTAGGGACCCTACCTGTACACGAATTTTATGCACTGGGCCTCTAGTGTAATAATAATGCCCTGATTAGACCTATCCTAAGGCTTCAACATAAAAACTGGCACAAATATTGTGCTGAATATAAACTCATATATGGCAAGCATGTCTTTTGCCCAAATCCCCCCTACAAGGAACATAATGGACCCAAGAAAGGCATTGTCACCTTGGTATCGAGGGGCTTTAAAATGTTTTGTTTGATCAATGATGGTTTCTGAGAGAAAAATCTTAATCAAAGGGGGGAAAGTAGGAATGAAGTAAAAAATAAAATGGAGTCACTATAATCAAGCTGCTAATTACTAATATCAAGTAGGTTAAGGTATGAAGAAACTTCTATTCTTGTCTTAAGTAGGATGAGAACTTAAAGTTATGAACTTTTCAGTCCTGTGTCAATGCCTGTATATATATCAAACCTCCAGATAACCCTCTGATAAACCACTGAAGGATTAAGAAACGGATTTTCATGTATCCAGACCACACAGCATCCAGTATCCAAACCACTGGTCATCTAGAGCATTACCGTCTTGGACTAATCCAGAGGCTAAGAACACAGGACCGATTCTTCTCAAGAATGTACCTTTTACTATAAGACACTTAGCTTTTCATTTTTCTTCTGTTTTGGAAGACTGGCTGTTTCCTAGTAGTGTTTCCAGTTTGTATTTCTAAAAAAAAAAAAAAAAAAGTAATACTGTCATTTTCATTAAATTCAGAATTTTTTCCAATTCTTTTTCTCACCCTTTTTGAAGCTCTGGGATGAAATTTGTTGGCTGTTGCAGCTAGGGTTTGTCCAAAGCCGCTTCATAATCCTGCCTCAGGTATTGCAATAAGTACAATACTTTGACTTGAACTGAGTTCCAGCATGTTAGATACTATAGATGTCTTTCTTTTTCCAGGGACCAAGGCTGAAGCCAAATAGTATCAGGTTTTGTGTCATAATGTACATTTAAGCTTTTTTTTAGCTATAATTTTATAATTGTCTTACTTAATTTGTAGGAGCTAGAGTTCAAGGGAATAATTATTTAAAATAATTATACAGAAAATGTGGGGTTTCCAGATTAAGGTACAACAAACAAATATTGAAAGCCTCAAAAAAATGTTAAGAATGTATCTCCTGTCCTGAGGCTATTTGGAGCTTTGTCCTTAGTTGCAGTGGCTCTGAGTTGATATTCTTTATCCCATATAGACTGTATGAGAATAATCACTTCCTTACATCAGGACTGAGAGTTCTCAATATAGTTGCTCAAAAGTCACACTTTAAAAAGGTGAAACATAATCAAATAGTCCTTCTGGTCATAGGAGGGGTTTATTTTATTTTATTTTTTTTCTGAGCAATAAAAATGAGAGTTTATTTGCTGGAGGCATGTGAGAAAGAAGCTATGCTACAGGGCGAGAAGGTGCTGGCTATGAATGAGGGGTTCAGTGGAAGCTGCAGGCAGCCATCTTTGCTCCTGAGGCGGCAGCCTGGGGTGAAGTAGACAGAGCAGAGCGCAGAGGGGAGGTAGGAAGAAACTGGGTATTTGGTAAAATTGTTCATCTGCTGCCAATACCCCTGGACTTCTCAGTTTTGTAAACCGGTAAGTTTCCTTTATTGTTTAAACCACTTTCCTTTATGGTTAAACCGATGATGGGAAACCAAAAGCAGCCTGGCTGAAATAGTTCTTTTTGGATCAAAGTCTCACATTCACCTTTAGTGCTATTGAAAATTTCAACATAAAATTCCTGACTCAGAATAAAGGAGGGCGTTGGCAGGTCTTTCACGTGAGCGGCTAGATCACACGGGCTCCCACGCAGGCCCTGCTGTTTGATATTCCCAGCTCTCAGGTGGGGCCAGGGGCTTTCGTCTGCTCTTCAAATCCTTCGCCCATAAGGCCTCTGTCCTTCTTCCCAGCCCAGGGCCTCAGGCAGGGAGGGTGGCAGGGCTCGGGTATGCATCCTCCTGTGCACACGGCTTCCTTCCCGCCTCAGCTGCCCTGGTGACCTCCTCCAAGGAGCAGGTGCCTAGGTGAACTCTAGTGCCCACATACCAGGCAGGTGGGAGGACCAGTGCCACCAGGCTGTGCTTCTGCCCGCTCCCTGGCACTCCGAGGTTTCCTTTTGGGCAGCGAGGGGCGTGCAAAGTGAAAGCCCTTGTGCACACGTGGTGGGGGGGAGGGTCTGCATTCTATGGGTGAGCACATGGCATGGGGGCCCGGCTGAGGCCTGGCTCCGGCACTGCCTTGATGAGTGACCTCAAGCCAGTCGCCTGTCATCCTTAAGGAGCAGGAACTACCCGTGTCCAGCGGGAGCCAAGTACAGAGGGTGCCCAGGGAAGAGCTTGACAGGAAGGGCCAGGACACCCCTCTCTGGGCCATGCTTGGCTATTGCTTGGCTGCTGGCCTCAGTTTATGGAACATAAAGGAGAGGACCGCTGCAGGCACCCGCCGCGGGTCTGGAGTCAGGATGAAGAGACTGAGTGAGGTTTAAGGAGTGGCCTTCACTGGGCAGTCAATGGCCGGGGACCAATGTGGCACAGGGACTTGCCTGAGGTCACACCACAGAGCTGGGCGATGTTCACCCCCGACTCCCCAAGCTGCTTTTCCTTCATTGCATGCACACTGGCTGGAGGGGTTTATTGTGTTTTACTTGATTCCTGCCCTTACTGTTTTGGCTGCTGTAGTAAACATTTGCAATTTAGGGTCCTCCAACATCGAGTTTCCCTTCTCTTAGTGATAATGTGGGAGAAGCCGACTGGGCTGGCACAGGGAATAGGGAACAGCAAGTCAACTAATCAGAGTTAATTCATCACCCCTGGTCACATCTTCTGGTTTGGGAAGGGCACTAGGCCTAAGTCAGCCAATCATGTTAAAGAGCTTCTCTTTGACATTTGAGTGAAGAAATATTCTACAGATTGATCATTCGCAAACTGAGAAGCATGTAGCTGAGGGAGCCACTCAACAGCGGTCGTTTTGCAACAGAAAGATGCCTATGAAATTAGGAATCAAACAGCAATGAAGAGTTACCAAGACATGACGGACAGGATACCAGGTCCTGGTCACATTCCTTAAGCTACCAAGTCAATTTCTGCCCACAGCGCTCCCTACCTCGACACTTAGTTGACTCAGTAAATTCCTTTTATTAGTTAAACCAGTTTGACCTGCCAGTATGTTGTTGCTGATTTTTTTATGTGGTTTTATTGACTTTAGAAACAGGAGGGGAGAGAGAGAGAGAGAGAGAGAGAGAGAGAGAGAGAGAAGTGTCAATCAGTTGCCTCCAGCTCGCACACTGACGGGATCAAACCCATGACCTTTCTGTGCACAGGATGACCCTCAACCAACTGAGCGACACTGGCCAGGGCTTGACTTGCCAATTTATCTCTCAAAATCAGAAGTATTCTAACTATGCTGAATGCTGGTTGTCAGCTTTGCATTACAACCACCCACTCGTACCCTCTTTGCTTTGTACAAAAGAAGCTAGGAACATTTCCCAGAATCCCTTTCCTTTATGGTTCCGAGTTAGACTTTGCCAGTGAGAGGTACTCACAGATTGGGAAGGCAGAGAAAAAAATGTTTTTATTCTCAAGACGTGGCCATGTCACACACTTCTCTTCCCCCAGGAGATTGTGGCAGTTTCCAGCTTCTCAGATCTCGCCACAAGCTCTCTCATTGCAATTGTGACAGCCAAACACAATGGCTTCTGACACTTCTGTGTAAACTCCTGCTTTGTGGTCAAGGTGACCATAAATGGCAGCTTCTCTGACTCCTCCACAAGCTCTGGCTTCTTATATTTTCCCGTGAGTTCTGGCTTCTTCAGTCTGCTCTAGTGCTTCAAGCCAATCACTGTGAATGTTCTCTAAATCTACTGCAGCCCCCAGACCTTTATGCCTCCAGTTTCTCTACATTCACTTAATCCTCAGTCCCTGCATTAAATCTCTTTATTCCAGAATACTTGCAATGGCTTTGATTTCCTCACTAGTCATTGGTAATGGGACTAGTTTCTAGGAAACAGAACTTTAAGGATGGGAATTGGCTCTCTGATCCCATTTGATTGAAAGGACCCTATTGCAAGTGATAATGGTATTAGTCCATGGAATACAGTGGTAAATGATTAATTATCACCGTGGACTACCAAGAAATTGCTGCAATATGATAACGGGAATAAAGGGTACAAGGACTGTGGAGTGGGGTGGCTATTTCAGATTACACTAGAGAACTTAGAGAAAGAAAATGATAAACTCATTGTGTAAATTCCTACTTCACTGTCTAAATAAGGAACCAGAAAGTTTCTTACCTGCCTGGGGGGAGTGAGCGAGGTGATTATCCTTACGTGATGTGATCACTGGGTCAAGATCTGACAATAAAATCCAAAAAGTGAGAACCCCAGAAGTTTTGCTTAGTCTTCTTTGCCAGCAAAAACAGCTTTTCCTCTACTGTGGTAGGTAGAATAATGGCCCCCAAAGATTCCACATTCTAATCCCCCCAAACTGACTATATTACCTTACATGCCAAAAGGGATTGTGCAGTTGTGATTAAATTAATGTTTTTTAAATGGAAAAATTATCCTGGATTATCAGTGTCATCACAAGGGTCCTCATATGCGGGAGGCAGGAGGGTCAGAGTCAGAAAGAGATTTGAAGGTGATAACCACTGGCTTTGAAGATGAAGGAAGGGGCCCCACACCAAGGAATGAGTGCATGTGGCCTCTAAAGGCAGGAAAAGAAAATAAATTCTCCCTTAGAACCTTCAGAAGGATCACAGGCCTGCTGACGCCTTAAGTTAACCTAGTAAGACCTCCAGAACTGTAAGATAATAAATTTGTGTTGTTTTAAGTCTCTAAATTTCTACTAATTTGTTATAGCAACAATAGGAATCTGGTCCATCTACTTTCTGATTAGCCTACCCTCGCCTGAAGACCCCAACAAAACAAGTACTTTGCATAATTCTGTGGTGTTTACCATAGTTTATCAAATATGGAAAGCTATTTGTAAAGATTGCTACAACATTTCTCAAAGGTAATACAATACTCGTTCAGTGGATAGAGCATCCACCTATGGACTGAAGGGTCCTGGGTTTGATGCCCGGGTTGTGGGTTCGATCCCCAGTGGGGGGCATGAAGGAGACAGCCTACCAATGATTCTCTTTCATCATTGATGTTTCTATCTCTCTCTCCCTCTCCCTTCCTCTCTGAAGTCAATAAAAATATATTTTTAAAAAATAACACTACAGTCATTATCTAGTAACCTCTGGTTTGAAATTCTAAAAAGAAGTTCCTAACTTGGTGAATATGGCTATTTTAAAAAATATATATTTTATTGATTTTTTTTTTTACAGAGAGGAAGGAAGAGGGATAGAGAGTTAGAAACATCGATCAGCTGCCTCCTGAACACCCCCTACTGGGGATGAGCTTGAAACCAAGGTACATGCCCTTGACCGGAATTGACCCTGGGCCCTTCCAGCCCGCAGGCCGATGCTCTATCCACTGAGCCAAACGGGTTAGGGAAAATATAGCTATTTTTTTAATTATTATTATTTTTTATTGCTTAAAGTATTACAAAGAGTATTACATATGTCTCCTTTCCGCCCTCCCCATCCCCCGCCCTTGACAATCCCCTGAAATATGGCTATTTTTATTTTTAAAGAGAGTTTCTTTTTTGTAGGGTTGGAAATAATCAGACT